TTGATTAAGCAATGAGTGCCTATAGTTGTCAGAGACTGTTCTGGGCATGGGAACAGAGAAGAAAACAAAACAAAAAAAGATTCTCCGTGCTCACGGGGCTGACATTCAGATAGGGGAGACAGACCATAAGCAAGAGAAAAGATGAGCTTTACACAGGGTGACCATCCCAAATCTGAAAGTACTCTAACATGTAAAACTTGGCATCTCTGATACGTTGCAACAAGTGGGAAATTCTGCATCATGAAACTTGCTTTGTGTGAAAATTGTAAAGGATACTATACCAACACAAAGAAGTGATGGACTTACTGAGCTGGTAGATAATGCCAGGGAGCCCTGATCTGGTCATTAAGCCTTATATATGTATGTTGAAATTGTTGAAATGCCACATTGAATCCCACAAGTGTGTACTGTGAGAAAACAAGCACCCATAAGTGTGTAACATTGCCTTGGGGATGTGTGTGCAAAGCCTAATTAAGCAACTGAGTTTCATGGTCAGATTTCAGTCCCATCCTTAAGATCCCTCTTTATGTAGACACAAACATTCCCAAACCGAAACCACTCCTATCCCAAGCAGATCAAGTAAAGGCATCCCAGCCTGCAGTGTGCTAGGTAGTGACAAATGCCAACAGAAACGTTGCATTCAGCAGATGTTTAGTGTGAGTTGCATTTCTGGCATTTTTAGACATATCAAATCTTGGCCTTGAAAGAGATTATTACACAATGCATGCATTTAATGATGACTTCTCTGGGAAATGACGGTAACAGTTAAATGCACACTAACAGAAAGCACTCTGGAGACTGCACTGTGCGTAATACTCTTCGCTTTGACATTTGTAAGCCTCTTCCGTGTTCCCCTCTGTGCAGTACCTTATGGCTATAACCAGTACATTAAATTTTATACATAGAGGAGTGATGCTAAGTGAATATACTGTGTAATTTACTTCCTGTTCCTCTGGCAGGTTACTTTGATTTTGACCAAGCGTTTAGTGTCTGAGAGGCCCAGGGTGCTAGAGTCAGTCTAGCTACCTTTTTATAATAATGTTTTGTGGAATTTCAGCCCCGTACCCTTAACTCAATTTTTTTTTTCCTTTTTCTCTTTTTCATTTTAATGAACACTTTGCAAAGTACAAAATATACTGTCGTCTTTTGTGGGGAAACATTAGGTATTTTTTTTCTCCATCATAGAGTACATAAGTCTAGAGGCCTTATGGGAGGGCACAGGGGGTGGGGTGGGATCACCAGGTCCCCCCACCCCCCAGACCTGGGACAATGGATGTGTCTTCTGTTGCTGGTGACCCAGGCATGACGTGGATGGGAAGGCCAGAGGGGTGTGGCCAGGACACACCTGCCCTGCCGTCCCCCAGAAGCCACCTCTCCTGCCAGCATCTTCCTCCTTAATTCAGGGTAACAGAGATGATCTTGGCATCAAGCAACAACAGGAGGGCTCAGGTTTGTTTTTTTGTTGTTGTTGTTTGTTTTCCCTTTTCTTGAGGGAGCCAACCCTGCTCAACTCTCTGCCTTTTCTGAATGTGGATAAACTGAAGCTATGCAAAGGAGACTGGGCTGGGTTTGGGTTGCCTGGGTTCCTGAAATCTGCCTGCTTCCTGTCCTCCCCCACCGGGCCAGGACGAGTCCCTGTTGGTGAGGGGGTGTCTACCCCATGACCTTGCCCTTCAGGACACCTGGTGCTCCTGAATACAAGGTGGGCAGGTCAGCCAGGTGGGGGCAGGGTGAGGCTTCCTGCCAGGGTAGTCCCTGTCTCCACCCCCAGCCACCTCTATTTCTGAGTCTCTGGATAGCTGGGCTCAGGTGTGAGTTCTGTATACGCACATACATGTTCTAGCATACAGACATGCTCACACACACCCATGCTTGTATAAACATGCACACACCTTCTTCCTGACTCCCCCAGGGGCAGGAACCACCCGTACATGCAGCCCTCACAGCCTCCCCTCTGCCACAGATCTGCCTGGATCACCACCTCCCTCCCAAGGCAGCCACCTTCCCAGGGAGGGAACCTGGAGACCAAAGCTCCCCTGCCATGCCCCATCACGGAAAGTGCTGCAAGGGGCCTGCTGTGTCTGATCAGCTCACCTAGCTTTCCACCTGCCACCCTGCTTCTCTGGGCCTGACGCTGCGGGCTGACCCCAGCTTCTGAAAATCTTGGTCAATAAACTCCACACCCAGATGGGCCTGACACTGTGGGAGGGCCTCTTCCCATTGGTCCCAATGTTTCACTCTACCCCTTGGAAAGAGCTCTTCTTGTCCTGGGGCCAGATCTTGAGACCCAGCTAAAAAGCAGAATGGGCTGGGAGTACATCCAGACTTATATTTAAAGAGATCTGTCAGGCAGATGGGGCCTCCTTACCTTAATTTTAAAAACAAAGATAGTCATTCTCCTGGATCTGAAGTAGTGAAACCCCGTGAATGTGGACCACCAGTCTCCCCCCACCCCTTGCTCCTTTCCTCCATCTTGACAGAGGCCCAAGGACGGACTCAGCCCCCTTTGCAGTCATTTGCTGTTTGGAGAGTTGGTCTAAATTGAGAGACAACATGCATACCTTTAAGGGTACACTTGGGGGAATTTTCACCAAGTGAGTGTGCCCATATAGTCACTGCTCAGATCAAAAACTAGAACACTGCCAACATCTTAACACCCACCCAACGCCTTCTCCAATCACGCACGCCTCCCCACAGCACAGTCCACAGTCTAAGCTCATGGGCTCGTGTTGCTTAAGTTCAAACTTAAGTTTGGACATGGTATTAGTGGGCAGAGCTTCCTTCTGCTGGTTCACTACCCAAATGGCTGTTAACATGATTTCCTTTGCTGCATTGGATTTACATTCTAGAACATTCCCATAACTCATTTGTGTGCCTGTTAATGAATTTGAGTTGTTTCCGGTTTGGAAATAATGCAGATCCTTACGCACATTCCTTACTAAACATGTGCATGCATTTCTTTTGAATGTCAAGGGACATAGTTGCCATGTCCTAGGCTATGCAAGTACCATTGTTCAGCTTCAGCAGAGGTTGTGAATCAGGTGGCGAACGTGGTTGCAACAAGTGACACTCCCGCCAGCAGTGTGTGAGCAGTCTAGTTCCACATCCTCTGTGGCACTGCATATTATGGGTCTTTTTATTGTAGCTATTCTGGTGGCCATACAGTAGTCCATTACTGTGGTTTTAATTTACACTTTTCTGGCAACCAATGATATCAGGCACATTTATTGGTCTTTTAGATTACTTTTGTAAAATTCCTTTTTAAGTCTTTTCTAGTGGGGTGTCTGTCTTGCTGATTTTTAGGGGCTAGTTCTACATGTTTTCATACAATTTCCTAGTATGTCTTTTGCTGAAAAAAGTTCTAATGAGGCTGTGTCCTTTTAGTTAGGTTTCTACTGAAGAGAGCTCAGCTCTGTCTGAGTTATTGTCCAGAATTGAAGCTCATATTTAAATATGTAATCTGTCTAGAAGTAATTGTTTCAGTGTTTATTTTTTAATTTTACTATTTGAAAGGCACACACACATACACAGAGCTTCCTTCTCCTGGTTAACTCACCAAATGCCTGCAACAGTCAGGGCTGTGCTGCACCAACACATGGAATTCCCTGTGGAATTCCACAGGGCTCCCCTGAGGGTGGCAGAGACCCAAGGACCTGCACCATCATCTGCTGCCTCCCTGAGTGTGCAGTAGCAGGAAGTGGGAATTAGAAGCAGAGCTGATCCTAACCCCTAACCCTCCAGGGAGAAAGGAGGGAGGCCACACAGAGAGCCCTTCCTCTGCATTCAGCGTAGACTCATGCCCTGTGTTGGAGTTCTACAGTGTTCAGTTTTAAAACTATATTTGGGACTCTTTCAGTCCTGATGATTTAAACTTTCTGATCTTTAATCAGCACTCAGAATATGGTGATAAATGGAAAGCTTTTTAAAGCCAGTATTAACTCCAGCATTAAAGCCATGGGCGAGAGAACTCGGCATGCCCCTTTGAGGGGAGAGCGTTTGGTGGTCGAGCCTGGGGACGCCTGCATCTCATCAGCCTGAGTTCAAGTCCCACCTCTGCTCCCCATTCTGCCTTCTGCTCATTTGCATCCTAGGAAGCAGCCGGTTGTGGCTCAAATAAATTCAGTGCCTGCCACCCTACACTGACCCAGCCATGGATGCTGGGGGCTTTTAGAGTAAGAACCAGCAAGTGGGAGCTCTCTCTCACCTGTGCCCTCTGCCTTTTAAGTCAGTAGAAAATAAAGATTACCAGGGGAAAAGATAGCCTCTTTGGCCTTGGACGTGAGTCTGGGGAGCGCTGTGTCCCTGGGCCACTTCTCCTGCCCCCCAGGTTGGCATCGCCATGATCCTAGTTCAAGATAGGACAGGCACAGACACTGATGGCAGAGCCTTAGCTGTCCCTTCCCGACTTGCCATCTCTGCTCCTGGCCGCGCAGCTCCCCATGATGTCCAGGATTTGAAATTGCCTGAGGGCTGGTGTTGTAGCATAGTGCATAAAGCTACACTGCCTGGGCTGCCACTATCTCCTCTGAGCCCCGGTTCATGTCCCAGGTGCTCTGCTTCCTAGCTGGCTGCCTGTTAATGGCCTAGAAAAAGCAGCAGCAAATGGCCCAAGCCCTTGGGTCCCTGAAGGGTGAAGCTCTTAGATCCTGCTTCAGTCTGTTGTGCCATCTGGGAATTGAATCGGTGAGTGGAAGATCTCTTTCTGTAACTCTGACTTTCAAAATAAGTCCTTTTTTTAAAAATAATAAAGTGCTCTTGGAGGACAGAACTGTTTCTTACTTAAAATGCAGACTAAGTCCCAGTGACTGTCACCTTGGGAGCAGACAGTTTAATTATAGTGAAAACCAAGGAAGGCCAGTCTGCCTTCCTCATTACTGTTTGATGAAAATGTGTCGTTGGTTAACAAGCCTGACCCCAGACCCCAGACCCCACTTTCCCAGCTGACGTGCAGACCCTGGCTTGCCCCTGTGGGTCATTTTGTCTGTCCTGCTTCTCCTCAGTACCATGAGCTCGCGGCACTCAGCCAGCCCCGTCGTCTTCTCCAGCGCCAGAAGCTCGCCCAAGGAAGAGCTGCACCCCGCCGCCACCCCTCAGCTCGCTCCATCCTTCTCCACATCGTCCTCCACTGCTGCTGGTCCTAGGACCTTCTACCCCCGCCAGGGGGCCACCAGCAAGTACCTGATTGGATGGAAAAAACCGGAAGGGACCATCAACTCCGTGGGATTTATGGACACGAGAAAGTAAGGGTCCTGGTGGTCCTGTTGGGTGGCCCACTGGTAACATGACAGAAGCCAGCAAACTGCAGGTGGTGTCCGGCAGCAGAGGCAGCCCCACTGGGATGTGCAGGTGGTGTCCGGCAGCAGAGGAGGCCCCACTGGGATGTGCAGGTGGTGTCCGGCAGCAGAGGGGGCCCCACTGGGATGTGCAGGTGGTGTCCGGCAGCAGAGGAGGCCCCACTGGGATGGGAGGCACTAGTTGGTTGTAAGAATAGATTTTTTTTTTCTCTAAGTAAAATTTTTCCTGTATTATTTCCCTGCCTCATTCTTCAAACCAGCTATACGAGGGCCTTCAAAAGTTCACGGAAAATGTAGACTGAAAACACCAGACATGAATTTTTTTTAAAAAAAATTGCATCAAGATTTAGCTTTAAATTCCATTTTTCCATAACCTCTTTGAAGTGCCCTCATCCAGTGCAAAGCATTCAGGTTGAGAGCTTCACTCTCCTGGGAGAGAGTGGGTCCCTGTCCACACTGGGACTGCTCTGTGTTGAGTCTGTGCTGGTTATGTCAGCAGGTGCCTTCCCACAAACTTTTCCTCAGTGGGCCAGCAGAGCCAGAGGGAATGTTGAACACTGAGCAAGTGTGAGTACCCCTGAAAATAAAGGCATGTTTTAGTAAACGCCAAGCGGCCAAGCACATCACGAGGTATTTTTCAGTTGTGGTGCTTGTGTCCGCAGGGAGTCTGCAGGCTTTTCCCAAGCCTGCTGCTCACAGAGACTGACAGCTAGCAGGGTCCCACGAGAGAGGGACTGGCATGGCAGATTCCGTTGGGGTTCCCCATCAGCCTTGGTCTCCAGCAAGCATTTTCACACATGCTGGTGACGTTCCACAGAAGGGACGTCGGGTGCCTCTCCTATGGTATTTCTCCACTCCCCCGACTCCCACCATCTCTTCGCTCTCTCCCAAGGCGTCATCAAAGTGACGGTAGTGACATGGCTCCCGCCAGGCTGCGGGCATCCACCAGAGACCTCCGCGCATCCCCCAAACCAACCTCCAAGTCCACCATTGAGGAGGACCTGAAGAAACTGATCGACCTGGAGAGCCCAACAGCTGACTCTCAGAAGAATTTTAAGGTACAGGACAGAGCAGGGCATGCATCCAGGGCAGGGCCATGACCCCACTTTCCCAAGGAGTTGGGGGGCAGTTCCCGCTCCCTGCTCTCACCCCATTCTCCTAGTGGTTACTTCACAGTGCTGTGTTCCTCTGGCTACGTCTCTTCCATTCTTGGCCCATGTCCACCCCTATGGGTGTTTCTCTTGCAAGTAGGTCCCATGCAAGGCACACAGTCCTCCGACGTGCCCTGTGTGGCCCTGCCTCTCAGAATGCTGTGCAGATGCCCACAGCTCCCTAGTCCGTGGGTTCCATCTCCTCACAGGCGGCCCCCCTCCCCATCCCCACCCCTGCAGCCAGCACTCAGGCCTGGCTTCTCTGATGCTGGCCAGCACAGTGTGACACAGAGGGGTGCCTGATGGCGGTCACCGCAGCAGCTTTCCACAGAGTAAGCGGCTCACTCCACATCCACACCTGCCCCAGGGTTCCTGTGACACCGCCTTCCTTGGTCTCAGTGCAGCCTGTGAGTGCAAGCACTTGTTCGCTGTGTGTGTTGTGCCGGTGGCCGGACCTGGCAGTGAATGTGGGGAAGGACTGCTTCTGGCCCAGCACTGGCCCTTGACGCTCCCTGCAGGCTGTGTGCTTTCTGATCCCCTAAAGTGTCCAGCCTCACAGTGCCAGGCTGCAAGCTGGACCTGGAGGTGTGGTGCTGAGTGGAACGTAGTTGTGCCACATGTGAGTCAGACAGCGTGCCAGGAGAGGGAAGTGCATCCCTACACAGAAGTCACCCGTGAGTTTTCTGTTGTCTGCATTCCAGGTTCAGTGGTTTGTAGTATAATGTGAGAGATGGCGTTAAGGCTTTAGATTGAAAATGGGAGCTGGAATATTTCCTTATCCGCTCACCAGCTTCCCGCTGTGATGAGAGCGTGGGAGGCATGCCAGGCTGAGGGGCTGAATACTCTCGCCACCTCCAGTTTCCCTCTCGTGTGCACATGAGTATGTGCTCCCCCAGATGCATCAGCTGTGCCTCCCACACCTGACAGCATACCCAGGAATCACCCTGGAGTCGTGCTAAAAAATAATTTAGTACTGTGTCACTAAATCATTTTATGCACCTATCCTTTCTCGCTCTCTGTAATGTCTGTCTCTTAAGCCTGCCTGCACTGAACAGTTGTGACTCATCATCCCAGGCACAAATGGTTTCCTTAGCAACCTTGCAAAAGATAGTAGCTGAATCTTCTTCACCCATCAAAACCCAAAGAGGCGTATTAACATTTTTAAGTACGAGTTTCAAAATAGAAATTATTCCAGGTTGTTTTTCCCTTGAGGTTAGAGGAGAATCAGATCTGCCCTGAGAGGAGCCTTCCCTCTAGTCCCAGCTTCAGAGTTTCAGCAGTGGGCAAATTTCAGAGCACTCATTCTTTTGATTTTCTGCCTTGCCCTCCATCCAGGTCTTGACTTTTATTTCCAATACAAACCACTTTACCATTCCTCCAGAACTGGGTGCACGTTCAGGCCTGACCGTTAGCACGAGACCCTTTGCAGAGATGGTGTCCGTGTGAGCTCTGGTGGGAGTTGGGGTTCCACTAAGCCAGCTTTCTCAAGCTCCCTCCAACTCTCTCCCTTCTGAGCAGCTATGCTTTCAGACAAGAGCAGCCCAGCAGCTTCTGGAAGAAGACTGACACTAGGTATGGCTTGAGAAACTTTCCGGGCCACTCCTGGCTCAAGACTGCAAGCCACTGCATCATGTCAAGTTGTAGGGTAGATGGAGTGGCCAGCTTGGGTTGTGCTGCCTGAAACCCACGGACCTGCCACATCAGCTTTGTTGGGTAGCTGGCATTGTAGTTAGATGGCAAGGGCACTCCCAGGCTGATCGGCCGGCAGAGCAAGCTGCCTGCGGTGGAACGTGGCAGTATTCCCACCTCTGCAGTAACAGCAGAACCAGCAGCCTTGTTTTGCTGAGGGCTGCGTCAGTCTTGGCCCGTGGGCACACATTGGGATGACTCCTGGTTTGCCCTAAGGGTTAAGCTTCCTGTGGCTCCCACATGAGCGGGAACTGGCAAGGTAAGAGGTGGCCAGGAGAAGACCCATGCAGGCCTCATTCCTCATCCGTGAAATACAGATATGATTCCAAAATATGTTATACCAAATAAGCTTATGTTCTAATTCCATTTTTCTGCAGCTTTTTTGAAGTCCCTTCATTAGGTTAGTGATGGCCACGTTAAGGCTGTGGGGTGCCCCCACACCCCTGCCTTGTGAAAACATCGCATGGGCATCTGAGCCCATGGTTTCTCTGATGGGAGTTACGTGGGCCCCTGGGTCCTACCTGAGCCTTTCTTCCAGCCAGAGGGAATACTTTCCAAAAGCCTTCCATCCCTTCCTGGGCTTGCACTGGCTCCTGCCCAGAGGATGGCAACCCAGGGCAGGCAAGGACCACTCTCAGGAACGAGACAGTTTGCACCCCTTGAAGACAAGTGACAGGGGCATGGGTGAGCAGCCAGCCCTGTGATTCTGGGTGTTGCTGCTTCTGTCCCCTTCCCTGCCTCCCATAGTGCAGCACCTTACAACTTCTAATGCTGCTGACAGGGATCACGTCTTAGGTTTTTCTAAAGATTGATTTATTTGAAAGGCAGAGTTACACAGAGAAGAAACAAAGATCTTCCACCCACTGGTTCATTCCCCAAATGGCAGGAGCTGGGACCCCGTTCTGGGTCTCGCACGGATACAGGGTTCCAAGGCCTTGGATTTTCCATTGCTTTCCCAAACCATCACTAGGGAGTGGAGTAACTGGGATGTGAAACAGCACCCAAATGAGATGCTGGTGCTGCAGGTCACTCTTGGGCTTCCTTTGCAGGATGGCTCAAGAGCAGGTGTCCCCAGGTTGGACACTGGAACTGGGCTCAGAGATTTAAAGCCACAGGGTTCACGGGAAGCTCACATCTTTCTTGTCCTCACCCCCAGCCCAGTTGATAAGTGCACATCTGGGTGGCATGTTGACGGGCACAGGCCACATGCAGAGGGGCTCTGCTTGCAGCTCAACAGGGTAACAGCAGGCAGTGCACCCTGCAGGCCCCTCACAGGGGCTCCAGGGCTGGAGAGGCAGGTCCCAGGCAGCATCCTCATGAGCCTGCACACCCCCAGCCTTTACCTCTTTTCTCTTGCAGTTCCACGCACTCTCCTCCCCTCAGTCCCCCTTCCCCAGCACCCCTACCTCGAGGCGGGCACTGCACCGGACGCTGTCAGACGAGAGCATCTACAGCAGCCAGCGGGAGCATTTTTTCACCTCGAGGGCTTCACTCCTGGACCAGGCCTTGCCCAACGATGTCCTCTTCAGCAGCACGTACCCATCCCTCCCCAAATCCCTGCCACTGCGGAGGCCTTCATACACTCTGGGAATGAAGTCTCTGCACGGTGAGTGTACCTTCCATTGCCCCACCCAGGGCCAGTCTCGGGATCACTGGGAAGAAGTCCTCGCCCCGTGCTCACCTGAGCTTGCCCAAGCATGTGGGTGTCTGGAGACAAGGCCTGGGGACCCCTGCTTTTTGCCCTAATGGGGCCTACACCTGCCCCAGGATTTCTTAGTCATCTGCCCCACTGCCATTGCTCCCTGTGTGTCAGCCACACATCTGTATGGTCATTGATTCGCAGTCAGCATGCTGACTGATGGTAGGATGCTATCCGTGGTGTCAGCCACTTACCTGTGCGGTTAATCGTTCATTCCGAGCAGGCACTTAGAAGACTCACTGACAACAGGCCCCTCCTTGAGTGCGTTCTTGCCCTTGGCCTGAGTGTAGGACTTCCCGGTGTTTGGAAGATGCAATTCATAAATGGATTTAGGCAAAATAACATGGAAATCCCTGCTACAAGGCATTTTCCTAAATTCTGTATTAATGAAACTACGTAGGCATTGCGAAGTCATTTAGCACAATTTCCAGTTTTTCAAGAACTTGAATTCACCTTCCTGTGCCTTGTGCACTGTGATCTAAATAGATTCCCCCCTTAAAATTTTTTTTTGTTTAGAAGGCAAAGAGAAAGCCATCTTCCATCCTCTGGTTCACTCCCCAGAGAGACATGGCTCAGCTTCTGTGACTAAGCTAGGAATCTGGAAATGCATCGGGATCTACCACGTGGGTTGTGGCTCGGGCCCAAGCTGGGTCCAAAGTAGAGCAGCGAGGATTCTGATATACAACACCTGTCAGCTCTGCTCTGGGGTTCCACGCCATCCCCCATCACCAGGCCTGGATTCTGACCCATCGTCCACACTGGCCTCCCCCAAATTCCCTTCCCTTTGTCTGTCTACCAGCACACTCTTCCTCCTGAAGTAGTAGTGCAATAGTAGTGCTGGCCTGAGTCATTCTTAAGCTGTCAGCCTCCTCCACAGCGGTCCCACTTGCTGCACTGCCAGCCTCCCATCCCCCAGCAGCACCCCAGCTCTGGCTTCTCTGTGCTGGAAGCCAGGACCACAGTGACCAGGGCTGACACATGAACTAGCCGCTCTTCACCAACGGACTCTGCATTCAACCCCGAGCTGTGGTGGTACACTGCTTCCTTCCTTTCCTCACCCTCTCCATGTGGAGTTCTTACTGCTCCTCCAGTTCCCACCCATCTTGAGTGCTTATTTCCCTGCACCTCTTTCTAAACCCACACAGCCATGAAAATAGCTCCCTTTTTATGAAGCCCTGCATACCTGTACCAAGTCCAGCCAGGAAGTCCACATATGATGGGATCACTAGCCCCCTCTGGCTTGCCTGAAAGCCAGGCATTGGCTGTGGTGATTGCGAATCCTCAACTGAGCATGTTGACGTTCCACCATGGGGGAATAGAAAGGCGAAGTGCAGGGACTGGGGAATATTTCTTAGTTACCCAGGTGCCACACAGAATTGTGTGTTCTGTCTGCTTGCGCATGGTGGGAGCAAATGCAGCTAGAAGTGAACATTTCTTACCTTGCAGCATTGGCTTCCATTCTAAGCATGTTAATAACCAGCAGCTACACTTCAGAGTAGTTCTTTGTAAGCTTTGAAAGGAAGAATGAGCACTAAATAGATCCTGACCTACCACGCTGTCAGAACAGACCAACCTTTCAGCTCCTGCTGCTGGGTCCAGCCGTGCCAGTCACAGGGTGAGGTGGGCCTGCAGGCACCATCCTCATTTCCACCTCAGCTGCAGCCTGGGTCCTGGGGCATTTGCATCTCATGGGTTCCCTTCCTCCTGTCTACTGCACAAGCTGAGCATAGCATTGTCCCTGCCCATGACAGAGCAGGGCATTGTGCCTCCCTGGCCCAGACAAGCTAATAAAATTTTACAGTGGTTCAGTATTTGTGTTCTACCAAGTGTTTAGAAAGAGCTAGATGTTGGATGGCTATATCCCAAAACTAAGCCAAAGAGTGAGTTGCTGTGTGATGGCTCTGCATCCCAGGAAAGGGGCTATTTCGATACCACTGCCACATCCCAGCAGTCTCATGGTACGGGGCTTCTCCCAGCTTGCTCCAACATGGCCCCCAGTCCAGGCAACCTCATTGTCCACAGAGATGAGGCTGAAGTCTCAGTGCCCAGTCGAGGCAGCAAGAAGCCCTGCTGTCCCCTACCATGAGGGCACATCCTGAGCCTGGCCCCCAGATCCTGCTCCCCCATGACCCAAGCAGGCATCGAGTGTCCTAGGAACAATACTGTGCCCATGACTCACCACTGAGGTGCAGGACAGGGGGACTGGTGGAAGCTACTTCCTGGTGCAGGTCAGCTCTAGAATGAGCATTCGTGGCAGGCTAGATTCTGAGAACAGGTGGCTTACACATGTGTTGTGGTAGCTGGAAGCAGCCACACTTCCCAAGTGGTTCTCTTATACCTTATCCCCCACCCCTTCCTGCAGGAGAGTTCTCTGCCTCGGACAGCTCCCTCACCGACATCCAGGAGACTCGGCGGCCCATGCCGGACCCTGGCCTGATGCCCCTGCCCGACACTGCTGCCGATCTGGACTGGTCCAACTTGGTCGACGCTGCCAAAGCCTATGAGGGTGAGTTCGGTAAGATCCACACAGAACGGCCCCGGACCCTGCGGGGCCCCACACTGGAGCATGTAGAGGTGGGATCCAGTCTCAGTGGCAGCACATCACCTGCACAGTTGGCAGCCAGGAGGTGCAGCCTCAGCCTGTTCCTTGGGCACGGGGAGGTTGATCTTACCCATGTTGGGGCCGAGGGTAGAGGACTCTTGCTGTCACTTGGCCAAAAAGACCACATGTCCAGAGGGGAGGGTCTTAGATCACTTCACGCAGGCAGGATTGCCGAACGCATCACCACAAGTGCCGGGATGCTGGGCCTTCTCTTCCGTCTCTGAGACGCAGGCGTTGTCTGCATGGTTCCCCTGCAGCCTCCTGCTGGTGCTCAGAGCCAGTGGTGATCCTTAAAGGCTCAGGCTGATGCTGATGTTTGCTGACATGAACACACAAAAGGGAACAATTAGTGCAGAATCTGTGTTGACCTAAGGTTGTCAGCTGTCTTATGAGTAAAGACTGACTTGAAGATTATACTAGAATTTTGGGTGCTGATGTTTTTGTAAATTTATGATAACAGATGATTATTTTATTGCTTTATTGTTTATTCAGGGCCAACTAAAGATGGCTATTCAGTTAAGTTTCAGTTGGGAGGGGAAATGTGTCAGACCACAATCTGGCAGATGAACCCAGGGAGCTATCAGCAGCCCCCGTTGCCACCTTTATGTCTATCTTGATGGCAGTTCCTTAGTACTAAAGTGATTTTTCAATCTGTTGATATTCATCTAAATTGTTGGATTTTTCTGTAACTTTACGTTGGGATCCTGTAAAACATGGATGGTAAACCAGGCTGAGGCATGCAAAAGTGGGACTCTGCATCTTGTGGGAAAGGTTGCTTCTTCCAGCAATTCCTGGACCATGGAATTAGAAGTTGATTTGTTATAAAATTCACATATACAAGGTCTTCAGAAAGATCATGGAAAATACTTAAGGAGACATATGGATTTCAAAAATGAAATGATCTTTAAATTTATTTTTCCACAAACTTCTTGAAGTATCCTATTTTCTGGAGTTCTAAGAATCTTAATTCTAGCCCTTCAACTCAAGTACATCAGCAGCCAGCAGAGAAGCTGGGCCCGAAAACGTGGCACGAGGCCTCCTTCCAGGGAAACAGGTGGCAGCCAGCTCAGGGACCAGGAGACCAGGAGGGAGAGGCCCAGCTGGTACCCCTGGGGCCTAGAGTGGAAACACTGTGATGGGACAGGGCCCACGCATCCTGCACCATCGTCCATGTATGCTGCCTGTTGACTAGGATGTGAGGGGACCAGGGACACGATTCTAGACACTCACGGTCTCTCCTCCCCTCTCCAGTCCAGAGAGCCTCCTTTTTCGCTGCTAGTGAAGAGAATCACCGTCCCCTGAGTGCCGCCTCCACCAGCGACCAGCTTGACGACCAGGCTCTGGCCCAGATGAAGTCGTACAGCAGGTTGGTCACCTGGTGGCATGGGCAGACTCCAGATCCACAGCTGGCCTCTCTGGTTGCTGGCAGAAGGCTGGCATTGTGGACAGTGGGGACAATTTGGGCCCAAAGGGCATAGTTGCCACAGTGGAAGATGTCAGGCTCTGGGTGGAGTGGCACTGCAGGAACTTACCAGGAAGACCTGGGCATCTTGAGTCAGGTACAGGATGGAGAAAGGCAGCCAGGGCTCCTCGGGTTCCTTGTCCTTGGCCCTGCAACATGGCAGTATCAGCACTTACATGTGAGAACATGTGAAATCATCTCGGGTGTCAGACATAGCACTTGGGCCGATTCCGAAACACGTATTCTTCCTTCCCAAGGGTCTTAAGATACTGACTAGTGGGTGGATGGGGGCGTGGGCCCCCAGCTGCAACTGTAGGAGTGCTCACCCCCAGGTGGCCTTGCATCAGCCACCCTTGGGATCCCCTCCCTCAAGGCAGAGAACCAAAGCATCTGTGTCTGCCCGACCATTGTCCCTCCCTGTCTTTCACTCCTCCTTCTGCTGCAGCAGCAGCCTGGACAAAGGAAGTTACCAATTGGCTGCAGTTCAAGCCCCAACCCTTGTTAGGATTACCATTAAAACATACTCACACACCTGAAAATTCACAACAGGTCCTTGCCATACTGAGTCAGTGGACTTCAAAAACCATTTTACAAAGGCTGGGTCTTCACCTGGGGACGGAGGAGTGGGGACAACCCAACCAACATGGGCTGTTGTCTCTCCCCCAGCAGCAAGGACTCCTCTCCCACCCTGGCCTCGAAGGTGGACCAGTTGGAAGGCATGCTGAAGATGCTGCGTGAAGATCTGAAGAAGGTAAACACCTCTTCTCCAAACAGCCTGCCCAGGACCCTTTCCCAGGAGCCCTCACGAGGCGGGGCGGGGCACACAAGATCCTGAGTCCAGAAAAACCGTTCCATCTTTGAACACCTTGGACCCTCAGCCAAGCTCCCGTGGGCCCGTCCCAACCTCTGCAGCCCTTGTGTCATGTGTAGATGGCTCAGATCGCTTCATGCTCCTCGCCTGTTCAGCAGACACAGCCCTCAGTAACAGACATTCAGTGCACAACACCCATGCGTTTCTGTCCCAACCTTATCCTGGAGCCTTGGCGCTCCCTGGAAGCCGTGTCTGCTGAGGCTGGGCACCTGGGAGCCCAGGACCAGGCGGGGTGCCCCGGGGTTCAGTGGGCAGTCAGCCTGGTGGTCCCAACACTTCTCTCCTGTGCCCTGCCTCCCAGGAAAAAGAGGACAAAGCCCACCTGCAGGCGGAAGTGCAGCACCTGCGAGAAGATAACCTGAGGCTGCAGGAGGAGTCCCAGAACGCCTCGGACAAGCTCAAGAAGTTCACGGAATGGGTCTTCAACACCATAGACATGAGTTAGGGCCGGCCAGGAGGTGCGGGCAGGGCCAGCCACGCCGTGTCCTCGGAACTCCTGCCCCAACTCCCGGCATCACCCCTCCCAGAGTGCACAACACAACAATCGGAGGTCAGCTGTCATTATCTGCCTTTTGTAGAAAAGAAAAACAAAAAAAAACTAATTTTAAAAAGTAAAATAAAAGTTTAACTGCTAAAATGTGAATGTCTTTATTTTTTTTGCACAATATCCTTACCTGTTATGTATTAAAAGAGGAAGCCGGGCCGAGGAGCAGGGCGCCCGGGCCCATCCACCTCCTAGCTCCAGCCGCTTCCCTGTCCACTGCAGGGAATCCAGCTCTCCCTTGCCGTCCTGATGAATGTCACGGTTCCTAGGAAAACAAATGGGGTTTTTTTTTTTTTTTACCTTGTTTATCTGGGGAAGTGGGGAAGGCTTTTTCTTACCACCTTTCCTAAAATGCCTGGTGAGGAACATGCTTTGAGAGAACACCCTCCTGCCCAGAATGGCTTGTGTGGGAGCCAGCACCGTTTGCACCTGCCTCCCAGACTACAGCAGGAACCGCCAAGGGACAGCCGCCAGCCTGGAAGCCAAGAGGCACCGTGGGGTCCATGGGCCTTGCTCCTTCGTAGGCGTGTGTGTGGCGTCACTCCTTCCAGCCGGGCCTCTTCCGCTGAAGGGAGCATCATCACAAACTTGCAGTCCGGCTCCCTGCAGCTCCCTGGCCCCCAAAGGAAAGTACCTGGATGCCTCGCTCGCCACATGCACCTAAAGCTTCTATCTGAAATTTGTGTAGATAAAATGTGGCACAATTGGTTTTTTGGCCCGCTCAATAACACTATTCATACATTTATAAATCTTTCAAAGCCAGACTGCACCAGAGTTTGTAACTAGGGGAAAAAAGTAACAGTGAAGGTCAAACTGAGCGTCCCTCCTGGCTTCCTTGCTGAATGGCCTGCCATCCACACGTCGCCATGCAGGACTCAGGCTGGGCACATCCTGCACCCTTTTGTGGCTCCCCCAAAGGGCTCTGGCACAGGAACAGCTGGCGCAGTAATTGTCCCGGCCAGCAATGCAGGCGCTCAGCACTCCCATCTGTGGTGCGGAGTCACGGGCTGGCCAGCACTGCCTGATGGGGGGGAGACCCCCACGTCCCTCGCCCTCACAGCAGACGCCTCCGCCTCTTCGGAGGTGACGCTGACGCGAGGGGTTCAACCCTCAGCTGGGTACCAGTGAGGCAGTTCCCTGCCCCGGCTCTCAGCAGGTTCCTCTGCAGGAAGGGTTTGCCTCCCCTCCCCGGCCACCCCATCCCACTGCCAGATCTTTATGGTTCAGTTTCATTCGTGATTGTCATTTTTCTATGGGACTTTTTCTTTTGGGGGGGGGCATGGGATCAGGATTTCGGAATGCTTTGTAAAGCTCTGCACCACCTGTCCCTGCCTGCGATTTGTATAGAGGAGAGTGTGCACTACCTGATGCCTCTTTGTACATGAGAAACCGCTAACATCCGAGCATCCTGAAGTCCGGCTGAGCCTTCCAAGCTTAGTTTCCATTTTGTTTTACCTTTGGTTTGGGGACTTGGCGCAAGCTATTTATTAGAGTTTTGCAACAGAGTTCTTGTTTGAAGCCTCTGAAGACTACTTGTAAAATTCAGACAATAAAATTCATTTTAAACACTCTTGTAAAACGCGTTGGTCTCACTGCACGAGGGTTTCTTGTCTGCAACACCACCCAGTCCTTTGCGCCCTCCTGGTAGCCTAATGTTTTCATCAAGTCCCATTAGCACTGCCCCGTGTCCAAGTCCACAGACAAGTCCTGTTCTCCCTGTGATCTCCAAGTGGCAGTGGCACTCTGATCACTTCCCTCTTTGCTGCCCGTGTGTGGTTTTTCCATAACAACACTGCCATTTTCTGAGCCAGCACCATTTCGGGCTAACAACTGCACCCCCAGGCTCTCCGTGTCAGATGCCAGGTGCCCAGGGAATACAAACGCCTGTTAAGATTCGACTGTGCAAAATATAATTAGGGTGGTTAATCTACTGGAAAGAAAAGAAATCAATGCCTTCAAAGCCAGTCAGAGCCATTTTTAAACTCCACCACTCCACTGCTGCTCTCCAGTAGTGCGGCTAATTGAGAGCCGACAGGATCCCGTCCCTTTATTTGCCTCAGCAGCTCTACAAATTCTAGAGTGACAAGACTAAAATGAGACTGGAGCTGCAAGATATTCTAATAAGCCAAACAATGTCTCCCTGTGGTTCTCCCTGTGGTCATTGCTGCTTTTCGGTGGGAGTTCCTAGGGGGAGACATTGGTGTGTGAGAGGGAGGAGCTTCACTCACCCCTGAAGGCGGCTGTCGGGGTGCCGCCTTCTTAGCTGGGGAGAAGTGACTGATCAAGGAGAGAGGACGCAGACCCGGTTGCTGTCTGTAACTTCTTCCTGAATGCAGGGAAAAAGCCCAGAACCAGGCTCCAGAGTACACACCTTGATCAAGCACACAGAGCCAGGAACGGCCAGGCCAGACAAGTTAAAGCCCTGGGTGATTTTGAAAGCATAAGGATATTATGGGTAATGTTGGATATGTTTTCCATGCAAGGATCTTAACACTATGGCTCACGCATGGCACTCATGCTTTGATGACAAAAGCATGTGACTTAGACTAGGGCTCAAATTCCACCCATCTGTGTCCTGGGGTAAATTACCTAATCTCACCATGATTTCATCATCTGGTTAAAAAAAAAAAAAGGCAGCAGCCTCTTATATTTAAGTATTCAGTGTAACTGTGTCAAGACAGTCCTGGGAAAGCTGTGGACACAATCTCGAGGGTTCCTGTTATATTCCATTTCTAGCGTCTTCACTGTGGCTTTTGCAGGAGACAGTCCTGATGACACTAATAGCAAACAGGAAGGGAAAGAAGCCGAGAGAATTTATCTGTTTCGCTAAGTATTGGTCAGGTGCATTTACACTCAAGGATCACCTGGAACCTCAACTCAGTGTTTTCATTTGCCGCTAATTCCCAGGTGAGCTCAGAATTACTGTGCAAACAGAGCAGGAGGATGGGGTAACAGGACCCCAGCCAGCAGCAGCAGGAGGAAGGGAGAAGGTGTGAGGACGGGCAGGGCTGGGAGCTGGCCTACACAGTCCCCCCACCTCCCCCACCTCCCCCACCCCCAGGGTAACAAGCTCTGTTGTATCTAGAGTTGATCTGCTGAGAAAAGAGAACTTCCTCCCCCACCCCCTCATCACTGCACAGGGGAGTTCTCTTTGCCGGAAACTTTTGCCTAGCTATTACAGATTTCTTTGTTGCTTCAAAAGGGCCTGATGCCTTCACCACCCCTAATTACAAGAGATGACATCTGAAGGTGGGTCTTGTCTAGAGTTTTACTCATTTTTAAAGGATACCCACAGTCCCCAGATGGACTGAACCTACTTTATCATCATCAAAATTCCCAGAACAATGCTGGCTATTCCATCACTGATCAACCAGCCTCATGCACATGAGCTGAAACCCCAACTTCATCTAGGGTTTCCGTCTTCCCCCCGCATTGGCCCCTCGGGCATCAGGAATTCACCCACCACACTTGGCACCTCTCCTCTCGCTCCTGCAGCGCCACTTTACCGCCCTGTTGTCAGTGACCGGCTCGGCAGGCCCTGGGCAGATACACTCAAGCTTAGCAGGGTTCCACCCAGACCTGCTCACCCTGGTCCCCAGGAATGGAACAAACCTCTGCACTAATATACAAGCCCGTTCTAGACCTGGGACTCGCCCACACTGTTATGCTCAGGAGGCATGACAGCACATTTCCTTGGCTATTACCCAGAAAAAAGCAGCTAAGGAAATAGGCCAAGGCTTCTGGAAACCTTTTCAGAACCTGTGCTCAGAGCTGCAAAGGCGCTGCCTTTCCTGGACGTTACTTGCACCGTGGGTTCCCCACTCCTGGGGCTGCGGCCCCTTCTGCCATGCACGGCTCTGCTGTCCGACACACACAGCACTGTCCCTCAGCTCCCATTCCCCGGGGATCCGTTTTCATCCTAAGGATCTCCCAAGCAAAATATGCTGAGCTGCAGGGGCCTTAGCCCTGCAGCAGATACACACATCCCACCAGGGGCCTCACAGCATTCTGCAGGGCAGCTGGGATTTTCTTTACCCAACAACCATGCTCTTTCCAGAGGACCCATTGCCCTCAAGCTCCTCACAGCACATCCCTGAATCTCCCAAGTTCACCCAGCCACACCTCTCTGAGGTGTTTCTGTACCTCAGCATTTCAGGGAAACATCATGCTGTCGCCACCTGCCAGCCACCTGCCAGCCACCTGCCAGCCACCTCCAGCTCCAAGTGTGCAGGTGGAAACGGCTCGGGAGGGTGTAGACTGTCCACACCAGCATCACCCTGGCCCTGTACACACACTGAGAGAACCTGCTTGGAAAACAGGGTTGTCCCGTGTCCTGTAGCTCCCATCATCAAACCCAAGGAAACCATTTCCTTCCCCCAAATCTGCCTCCTTCTCATACACACACACTCTTCCCCCTTCCATGCCCGCTCTCTCTCACGGGTGCACCTGGCAGTGAATGCCCTCCAGTGTTCTCAGAAGGTAGTTATGCTAACAGCAAGTTCAGAGTTCCTGATGATGCAGCCTAGAGGTGGTGGATGAAAATTGCTTATCTTGGGGACAGGTGGGATGGATGTGCAACTAGCCCGAGCTATTTTTCCTGAGGGCGAAAGTATTGTCAAGTACTCCTTTGGAGCTTCAACATTGCTCTGCAACCAAAACACACGTGGCCCAGTGTAGACGCAATGAGTTCACAATCTGCCCAGACACCAGTGAGGGGAAGAGTGAGGGTGCCCGTATTGGGCACTGGGAGCCAGCAAGACCAGACCAGGCTGGGGTAGGGAATCACTGCTCACTGCATGCAAGGACTGTTCAAATGATGAAGTGATGGAGAACTCAGCCTTCATCCTTATTGTCCTAGAGGCAATCCCGGGACCAGAGGACGCAGGGCACGTGGCACAGACTTGCTCTCAGATCAGTGGAGACTGGGAGGTCTCCAAGCTTGAAGCCAGGAGCCAGCCTGTGCACCACCCTGCTGATGTCATCTACTCTCCGTGACCCTTGGCTTGACAGCTGAGACCAGAAGAAACCTCCAGGTTCCCAGGCCAGGAAGGCCTTTGCACCATCGCCCTACCATGGCCACAGCCCACCACCTACACACGTGGGCACACCCAGTATTCAGGAACCACATGTACTTCTCAGCTTCTA